TCAGGAAAAATTCCACTCTTTAATATAGCATTGAAAATTATCAGCATCGGCTTGACGAAAACATGAGCACAATCTTTAATAATAAAACTAGGTATTTGATCACTACCAGACGTAAGTTTATTTTGAAGCTTAGAGAGAGACTTCAGTACATCAGCTTCCGTTAATTCCTCTAGATAAAAACATGATGTTGAAGTGACACTAACTAAAGAAGAGGGGATATTTCGAGGAGTAACATACACACTCTTAAAATAGTCGGCAAATGCATCAATAACACCTTGTGGAGTACTGAATACGTTGCCGTTGAACTGGACTTGGCCTGGTATTCTGCTACAGTCTCTCTTATTCCGAATGTATGACCACAACTTCTTCGGGTCGTTGATTATACTGTCCTCAACCGACGACAAGTACTCACTGTAAGCAACTCTAACTCGCCCCTTTATGATTCTGCGCAATCTAGAAAATTCATTGTAATGGTAAACATTGCGTGTTCTCTTATATTTTCTGTAGTAATAATCCTTCAAATTTATGTTACTTATAATTTCTCCAGTATACCAAGGAGGATACCTGAATTTGCAGGTGTTGCTATATTTAGGAACATAAATATCAAATATTGAAAAAATTTTAACACAAAATGTATCGCATAGTTCATTAACATCAGTAATTTTACGTAAAAAGGACCAGTCAATATAACTCAAAGCATTATATAAGCCAACATAGGACGCCTTCTTGAAGTTATACATCAATGATGTAGGTTCAGTATTTGGGGACAAGTTAGACCTACTAGACAGCTGTATGATAAATAGGATACTTAAAGGTGGATGGTGAGGATCTACTTGATTTACAATAGGAATAGCTTCCCGTGAAATAATACATGGTACACTTTCAGTGCTTATGACTAAATCCAGCAATCGCCCCAGCGCATTTAATATCAGGTTAGATTGGATGGTGTTGGTAAGATCTAAAAAATTTGATAGCGTTGTATAACGAAAATCTGCATGGAGACTAAATACGAAACCGGGGGCATTAAAATCGCCCAGTATCAAAACGTTGGGCTGATTGATTATTAACGTACTCATGTGTGACAAAAAACTTTCGTAAGTGTCATTAGAAGTGTCTGGTGGAATATAAATAACATAAACAAACAGAGTGAGTGGTAGCTTGCACTTAATCGCAACTATGTCAATGAAAGGATAATCAGTAGAAAAATCTAAAAAAACATGCTCTGCCAGAGAACTAGTTTTACATGCCAACAATACACCCCCACCAGACAATTTATTTGTTCTTACAAAATCACGGTCACTACGAAACACACTGTAGTTTCCAGGAAAAATTTCAGAGTCACGTACTTTGTCGGACAGCCAAGTTTCTGTTAAGTACCAATTATATCATATTCATTTAAGGTTGCCGATGAAAATAAATCATCAGTTTTCGAATTCAAGCCCCTAACATTCTGATAATATGCTCGAAGTTCAGCGCTGCTGGGTCTATTCAGTTTAAATTAGCAACAATTTTTGGAAGACCATGTACATATTTGATTCTGATGTTCTTCTCACCTGCAGCAATCCTCTGATCCAGTTCATGTTTGACTTTTCTATAAAATTCCTGCTGTTTTGGAGTTCTGTCAGTAGAGATACTTATTCTTGTATTTCTGTTACCGGATCTACGAGAAAGCTTAGCAGAGTTTTTAATGCATAACAGGACATCTTGATTGTTCCGCAGAGAAACCTTTACCGGCCTAGGCCTATCCTTTGTGGGATCAAACTTTCCCAGCCTGAAGAGTCTGACATTGGTATCAATTTCTGTAGAAAGGGACTGCAATATACTTTTAACCTCTTGAGTATCATGAGCTATCTGTTCCTGCTTTGTCCTACTTTGATCTTCAGTAAGTCCAAAAATAATAATATTCTGTTTCCTACGGTTCCGCTCTTCAATTTCTCGAAGAACCTCCTCATACTCCATTTGTGATGAAGACTGTGCAGGAGGAGGAGATTCATTTTTCAGCTTCTCCAGTTCCTTTATCAAATTATCAACTTTTTGATTTAATTTTGGAACCAGCCTAATTCCCAAAAGACAATCGTCACAATAAAACTTGAGTAGTCGTTTGCCTTTTAAGGCCATCACCTTTAGCTCAGATCCATTGAGTTCTGAACATTCTGAATGAATAGGTCTCTCGCAGCTATCACAGGATAAATAGGAACAACTATCCGACTTTTTACATTTTAAACATTCCATGATCAAAACTAGCTATGGCTTCGCCACTGTCCTTACAACGTTATGGAATTTCAAGAAGCCAAAGAATGATCCTTTTCACGCTGGCTGGACCAGTTTTTGCATATGATCAGCTCAGCAATTGTAAGAAGACAATTTGATCAATCTCAGAAGCTGAATTATGCACCGTAGAACCATATGACGAACCAGGCAAGCATTCTGACAAATAACATTTCTCTTCCCCAACAATATGATGTAAGTTTCAGATCGTTTAGATGGGTATTTACCACTAAAAACTGATGATTTCACAGGAGCACTATACGGTAGCGTACACACAACGAAACGTATTCGAGGGCTCAAGGGGTATCAGCTTGAAATACACTCTTTTGATAGGTCCCAAATTACAAAACGATATTTGCGAAATATTGTTAAAATTCCGATTCTACCCTGTCGTATTCTTAACGGAAATCAAACAACATGTTTTGCAAATTAAGGTCAATCCCATTCATAGAGACTATCAAAGATTACTTTGGCGCTTTCATCCCACCGATCCAGTCCAGGAATATCGGTTGAACACCGTTACCTTTGGAGTAAGTTCAAGTCCCTGTTTAGCGATCAGAACCCTTAGAGAACTAGCAATTCGAGAAAGTAAAAAATTTCCTGATGCTTCGAAAGTTTTGTTGAATAACATTTATATGGATGATATCTGCTGCGGATCTACATCCTTAGAAAGTGCTTTGATTCTTCAGAAAGACCTCATCTCCCTACTCAAGTTAGAAGGCTTCGAACGTAGAAAACGTGCAACAAATAATAATATTAAAAAAAATATTTGTCGTCTTATCCGGGTAATTCGTGTCAAAACCGATACAATAAGTTCCGTTCCAGATCCCTTTTCAGCCTTTGAACTACACAGAGCATTATTAATCGAGTCCGGTTTAATTAGAGTGGGCGGACGTTTAAGGAATTCTGAGCTTTTCTTCGATGCAAAACATCCTGTATTGCTGCCTAAAAATCATAGATTAACAGACCTTATCACTGAGCAAACACATAGGGAACATTTACATTCAGGTCTAAACACGATTCAATACCTAATTCGTCAGAAAATTTGGGTTTTATCCAAAAGGTCTTGTCACAATGCATTCGATGTTTTCGCCAAAAACTTAAAACGTATACCCCCTTACATGTCGGATCTACCCTATTTTCGAGCCTCACAATTAAAATATGTCTCCCACGTATGCCTAGACTATGCAGGTCCAATAAAAAACCTTTGTATGATAGCGGCGTCGCGGTGCGCCAGCCTCAAAATCCTACATAGCCGTCTTTGTTGATACTTGTGTTAAGGCAATTCATATCGAGCTTGTTTCAAGTTTAACCACAGAAGCTTGTATTGCTGCGTTAAGACGTTTTGTAGTCAGACGGGGCACTTGTGTACAGATCACAAGTGATCTGGGTACAAATTTTGTGGGGGCTATTATAGAGCTTCATAATTTCTCTAAGTCTGCGGCCAAACGCTTAAAAATCAAATGGAATTTAAATAGTCCAAGAGCTCCGCACCTTAACGGTTTAGCCGAAGCGGGAGTTAAATCCATTGAAACCCATTTATATCGAGTCATCGGAGACCAAATACTAACCTTCGAAGAACTATATACCCTTCTCACTCAAATAGAAGCATTACTAAATTCTCGCCCCCTTTGTGAACAAAGTTCAGACCCCAATGATTTGGCACCACTAACCCCAGGGCATTTCTTAACCACAGAACCTTTAAATCCATGCCCAGATCCTGATTTATCATCCTTAAACAAAACATTCTTAGTCATTGGCAACTCATTCAGAGATTACATTCAGATTTCTGGAAACGTTGGAAGCTCGAATAACTTAACACTCTACAGCAACGTTGTAAGTGGAATGACCCATCAACGGAAATTAAGTTAGGTTTCTTAGTAATAATCAAAGACGAGTCAACACCTCCACTGCGTTGGTTGTTGGGACGCGTTATGGAAGTTCATCCTGGTCGTGACAATCATGTCAGGGTTTGTCCTTTACCGATAGTGAAACAATATTTAATCATTTTTAATTCGTTTTTGGACTGCGAGTACAGAGCATTCAAAGCAGACTGTTAGAGTAGAAGGACCTGACAGTGGATCGAGCATTGGAGATTGCCAACAGCATGGAAACATATGCAAGAGATGCGGCACAACTACGAAGAGTAAACCAGAATGGTAGTAATTCAACTGTACACCTGGTGAAGCCAGCACAGAAGAAAAACTCTAAAGCCATGTACCGATATCTAACAGCACCGCGAACCGAACCACGCGACGAACCGCGCCGCGCTAGTGTAGACGGTGAAAAGGACGCCGTCGCGAACCTGATTAGCGTAAAGGTGGGTCCAGACTTGAACATTTTAGCCCGAACGAACAGAACGAGCTGAGCGAGCAAAGCCGAATTCGCTAAGTGTGGACCTGCGCCCGAGCCGAATCGAACGAGCCGAACGTTTTCCGGAGCTTGTCGGTAAATCGGAAATGCTCAAAGAGGTTTATTGTTCGCCGAATTATTCAGTTGACGGAATTAATATAGTTCGCGCGGTTCGCAGCATTCGAGTAATTGTCTGTGTGTTTTGAAGGTACGGCAAAAATAAGAAAGTTTTATTTAGTTTTATTATTTAAATAATAATTTGATAATGGAATGGAATAGGGAAGCATGTTTAAAATTAATTGACATTTATGAACAAAACCCTGTGTTGTGGAATCCCAAACACGGATTGTATTACAATAAAATAAAAAAGCATGACGCCTGGGTCAATATTGGTCAAATCATGCAGTGTGGTAGTGAAGAGGTAAAAAAGAAAATGGAGAGCATGTTGGCAAGTTTCAGGCGGGAAAAATCCAAAGGCAAAAAATCTGTTGGTACCGGTAAAGGTAATTTATACAGCACTGTGGACCAAATTAGGTGTTATATTTGAAAAACAATTTCTTTTATAGGTAGGCAAGAAGTGTATATATCCAAATGGTTTGCTTTCACCCGAATGGCCTTTTTATTAGACAGAGATGAACCAACAGAAACATTAACTTCTCTCAATGTAAGTATATTTGACTCATAAATAATAATAGGCAGAAAATGAAGTAATATTTACATAGGTATTATATTCATTTATTGTAAAAGTAAGTTGCAAATTTATCCCGCACTTCTTTTGCTTCCAATGATGTTTTACATGGAATTTGCCTGATGGGTATGAATGATGACAAATCATTGTTGCCTTCACTTCTCCAGTTACCAGGAATTATATTTCCCATGCTGTCTTCTTGGTCAAATGTTCCAGGGGGAGTATAAGTATTTCGAGATTTACTTTTTCGTAGAAAGTTATGTAGGCATACTGCTGCCATGATTACGTATTTTGCCTTTTTTGGTTCCAATAGCATGGGTTTTCGTAAAACTCGAAAAACTGCAAAAACAATGCCGAAAACATTCTCTACAACTCTTCTTGCACGACTTAGGTGGTAGTTGAATTTTCTCTGCGTTGTACCTTTTTCGTGCATCCCCGAGTACGGTTTCATTATCCTCTTTATCAAGGGAAATGCCTCATCTGCTAAGAAAACATATGGCATATTATTGCCGATTTCGGGCAGTAACTTGTCCATAGGAAAGTGTAGCCTGTCTTCTGTGATTTTTCTATGTAGTGAAGTATGTTTAAAAACACCGCCGTCTGAAATTCTACCTTGAGAACCAATGTCCACAAAAATAAAGTTGTATGCCGCATCCACAACTGCAAATAACACAATACTAAAATTTGATTTATAATTATAATATTCGCTTCCAGTATTGAAAGGGCTTGTTATTATAATATGTTTCCCATCCATGGAGCCCACACAATGTGGAAATTGCCATTGTTCGTAAAAAATCTTGGAAATTTGAAGCCATTTTTCGGCAGTTGATGGAATCTGAAATAAAATAAAAAACGGCCTAAGTTTAGGACTAAGTTTAAAAAAAAACTCTAGATGCACAATTATTTTTTGATATATTTTTTGGAATATTCGTGCACTTGTCGGTTTAAACCTATACCTTATTTTTTAATTAGGAGTTGTTGACGAAATTTTTGGTTATGTTATTTTAATGCGGAAATGGATAAGTTTTCTTGTGTAAACCCACCTTAAATTTGACCAATGACGAGGCTTAATTTTAGGCGCGCTTTTTTAATCACTCCTAATTAAAAAATGAACTTTAGGAAAGCGTCAAATTTCACCGGTTTTAAAGTTAGACTATTTTAGTGAATCCTTGGGAGGTAATCCCTGCAAATACAGTGTATTTTGACAAAATTATATCACATTAAATTTCCTGTTTGTTTTTTCTAGGATGACACAGAAACGATGGAGGCTGCTTCGCAAGAAGATATTGAGGATTCCCTTGATCAATCTACAGATATAAATGATGATCATTCACAAAACGACAGAGGCAATCTTGATGAAAGCCAAACCGTACTTCCTCAAGTGAAAAGAACATGTCGTGTAAACTTAAAAAAAGGAACAAAACAGAACATATTTCGGGAAGATAGCACTATTGTCGAAGCCTTTGGAATGCTAAAAAGCGTAGTAGCAAAGGAAAAGCCCGCAGAAATATCAGATAGTTGTACTGATTATGGAAAGCATGTGGCAAATAAGTTGAGAAATTATTCGGAGAGGACTAAAGCGATAGTACAGTACCATTTTAATAATATATTATTTCAAGCTGACATGGGTAATTTTGAAACAAATAGAAATGCAGCAGCTATGAATGTTGCTGCAAACTATCAGAATTCGTCCATAACTTTGCCCACTGGTCACTTTACGACACCCATTCCAACACCTTCTCCACAAGAAACGTCACAAAGTAAAGTTTCATATACTGATTTGACATCTCCGATCAGCGAAGTTAATGCTCAAGAAGAAACAGGTTCAATTGGAGCAGCCGCTAATTTCTTAAGCAAATGGCAAATTTAACATTACTACCTACCTACCAATTATTGGAAAGAAAATTCATTATTTTCTATTTTTTGCTGCTTTATTTTTGTGTTCGTTAATTAATATAGGTTCTAATATCACTTATAATGCATATGTATTATTCCTTACCTTTATCAGGTCCTTCAAACTCAAGGTTAGCGCTTTACATGTTTCTGCCACTATGATGCTAATACTTTGTTTTGATATTTTAAACAAATACTGAAGGCTGGTGAAAGAATCGCCAGAAGCTAAAAACCTCAATGTTAAGGCTAAACGATCTTTAACTGGTCTTGCTTTGCGTAACTTTGTATCCGTCTTTTGAATTACAGGTCCAATTAAATTTATCAACTCCTCAAAATCTTCTGAAGTCATTCTGGTAAAATTTTTTAAATGGATGTGGTCCATTTCTAATAATAACAAGTTATTGTTGAGCTGTCGATACAATTTTCGTACCCATTGGCTCCGCGCTTTTTTCTTCTTTTTGGCAGCAATTTTACAAATTAGAAAAAAAGAGCTAAATGCTACCGCTAACTCAGTATTCATATTCAATCTTGAAATTCACTATCTTACTTTTACCAGCACTTCCGTATATCTTTGCGGAAAAAAATAACAATAGCAAATACATAAATACTTCGAGCAGTTGGAACTTTTAATGCTCGCGCGAACGGATCGACCTATGCTCTGTCTGTTCGCTCTGCTTATTTCCGCACGCTCAGCTCGTTCTGTTCGTTCGGGCTAAAATGTTCAATTCTGGACCCACCTTAACAGCTCGCCATTCGTCCCGATCCAGGCTCTGTCGGTTTTTCAGCGCAACATCAAAGGAATGAATCGCGACGAAGTTGCACATATTTGGGCAGCCACACCGGTGCGGCGAGTACCAGTGTGTTATTTTGTAATGTACTCAGAAGTAAAATATTTATTTGTCTTACTTGTATATTTTCCTTTAAAACTTCGATCAATGCTTCACAAAGTTCTGAAATGATGTAGCACTAAAAATCGCACCGTGTCTGCAATTCTTTCTTGCACTGTACAGCTCTCCAGTTTGTATCTTGTCTTCGTATTTTTGGTCCAATCAACGTGGGAAGATATTCAAAGTCCGTCGGTGACATCCTCGATGAACTGTCCACTAACTTGTTGAAATTTCAATTCCGCTATCAAATTGTTGCAAACATGTGCTGATCTATTGGTATATAACTGCGTTTGCCACCATCGTCTCGGACGTCGTCGTCGCTTGTTTTTGGATAATTCGTAGTGAATATAAATATAGTCAGCTGCTGCTACTTCTATATCTATTTCCGCTAGTATTCGTCTTTCACCGAACGACAAAGATCAAAATTGGATCATCATTTTGTTGCGCGATGTGATTGCACGGCGTCGTTGGTGTGTGGTGATGTTCGTTGCAATGTTGTTCGTCGAAATGCGCGCGTTGCTGTACGTCGAGTGGTTTGGTTCGCGGTGTTGTTACATATCTGTACATGGCTTAAGAGCGTTAATGTTACTCGCGTAAATGATAATCGTAAATGTTTCAGGTGCGGTTCCAGTTAACATTTGGCGAATAAATGTGATGCGAAAAATCTCACATGTTAGAAATGTAAACAGAAGGGCCACCTGGGGAAGGTCTGTATGAAGACCAGTAGAAGAAGTCGACGAAATTCTTTCAATATGCACAAACCATGCAATGTATAGAGAAAAATCTGTACAAGTGCTCAAAGTAAATGAGGTGAGATTTGAATTTGAACTGGATTCTGGTGCGACTGTTACATTGATAGGTATTGAGGACCTCAAACAAAATGTTTCCTAGACTTGATGCACAAAGTGCATGTGATTGGTTTTACTCTGGTAAAAGTTACTTACAATGATATAGAGAAAGAACTGAATCTTAATGTGGTATAAACAGACAAATAGCCATTATTAGGTAGGAAATGGATTAGATAATTACCTTGTGTTAATGCGGTAAGTGCGAATATTGAATTAGAAAAGATTTTTGATGAATAACCTACAGTTTTTACTAAAAATATGAGAAACATTGAAGGTCTATAGGCCAGGATTAAAGTAAAAGACGATACAGTACCATTTTTCATCAAATTCAGAAAAGTTCCTGTGGCAGTGTTACCAAAAGGAGAAAAAAAACTAGTGTACTTAGAAAGCGAAGGAGTTTTAGGAAAAGTTGACAGTTCAGAGTTTGCTACTCCAATCGTTCCGGTGTTAGAGCAAAACGCTAGAATACGCATTTGTGGAGATTTCAAATGTACATTAAAATAAACATATAGTTGTTGATGTATACCCTCTCCCCACTACAGATGAATAATTTTCTTCTGTGGGTGGAGGTAAACAATTCACCTTGCTTGATTTACATGAGCATATTTACAAATGGAGGTTAAGCCAGAGGATAGAAAATATTTAACTTTGAGCACACCAAAAGGTCTGTATAGATGTATAAGGCTACTGTACGGAATTTCTAGTGCAGCTGCAATATTGCAGAGAGAAATCGAAAATATCTCGAAAGATACACCAGGCGTTACAGTATTTTTGGATGACATAAAAATTACGGGTCCAAATGGTAAAGTGCGTCTAGAAACGCTAGATCAGGTTCTAAGTAGATTTACTGAGGGCCGATTTCACCAACATTAATATTATGGACCAATAGGAAAATACCTTATCGAAATGCAATTTGACGGAAGCTGTCAAAGGTCTCGGAATATCAGTGATTTCTATTAAAATCTTGAATAAAATCGTGAAAATTCGACTGTATTATAAACAAGACCACTTTTTGATTCCAACATGATGCTTTTGTACAGAGAAAACATGACAACTTTCATGTATTTTGATTTATGTTATAGGTGTACATTTGACCATCCGTTATCCCTTCAGCGAATGAGAATGGGAGAAATAATAGGTAGATTTTCTAGCTTTCAAATTTGGCAGCAGGTTTGGTCGTTTGTTAATTCATGGCAATCTCGAAATTTGTTAACTCCAATATGCTGTGTGTATATGTGATCAGTATAGCTACACATACCTGTTGAATTGTGCGGATTTGCAAGAAAATAGAATTTAAATTCTATTCCAACCAATTCCTCATCTCTCTTTACATCATAATAGTAATCATTTGTTATAAATTCATGGGTTAATGAATTTCTTCAAAGCAATCAAAACAGTATGGTCGTCCTCATCCTAAAACACCGATATGTGTAAAACATGTTAATCCCTACATCTCCGAGGTGCATAATGCAATTACTGTAGACCATTGATTCCCAAAGTGGTCTATATCGACCCCTAGGGGTCTATGACAACCTGCAAGGGGTCTACATCAGCGAAAAAAAATTTGGGGGTCCATGAAATGAATATGGGGGTCCACGATAGTAGATCTCAACACATACACTGATAGTACCTATTTACTTACATCATACTATCTTATAATATCAAAACATATACATTATTTATAAAAGTACCTATGAAGTAAAAAATTTATTATATATGTTTATAAAATTATGTAAGTTGTAGGAAGTTGGTATTCGCTTTGTGGTCGCAATACATTTTGAACTTGTAAAAACCTGAGAGTCGCAGTCTCAGAGCTTCGCTACCTTGCATTGACTTGTTCAATTCGTCACTCTATAAATACGAATGTGGGACAAATACGTTTATTCGTTTCCTGAATCTTGAAAAGGAAAGTGCTTAGAAAATATTTTAAAAAATATAAACAGATAGTATATCACACAAATTATAGTGAGTCAGTGTTATTTTGTTTGAGAGTGCTGGTAAGTACATTATTTTTTATTAAATTTTAGTTTTGTACTTGTAGTTAGCAAAGATAGATAAATTACACCAATCATGACTTTAGTTATTAGTAGTTAAATATTCAATCATGCAAAATTACACGAGTACTCCTCAATAGTTTCTTTTTGAAAGTTTTAGCAATCGGTAATATAATTACAGAGCAATCTCCGTAATTGTTGCAAGAAGATGTTCGAATTATGGAATGTTTTCGGAAAAATCAAAAAAATATTTTTAATATACAGCTGCTGGATTTTCTGTTTTATTTAAATAATTTAATTTTGCCCACAGATGACTGATGCCATGTCCGAATTTAAAAAGAAATGTAGACAGTACAGTGTTGATTATTTGAAATTTGGCTTCATTCCATCATTGCCGGACAAACAATCACCTATGTGCCTTTTATGCAACAAAGTTTTGGGCAATGACGCTATGAAACCATCTAAACTGCAAGATCATCTGAGAAGATGCCACCCTGATAAAACAAAGAAAGATTTGAAATACTTTCAAACACTCAAAGATAAATTTCAGAAGAGACCTACACTGGACAGAATGTTCGCTTCAACGTCACAAAGAAATGATGATGGTTTGCGGGCGTCTTACAATATCTCGCTACTTATAGCAAAATCCGGAAAACCGCATACTATCCGAGAGAAGCTAATTTTGCCAGCCGTTGAAGAGGTTTTAAAAACTGTTTTACACAAACCTGCATCTGATATCATTAAAAGAATTCCCTTAAGCAACAATACTGTTGAAAGACGTATTGATGAAATGAGTTCTGATATTGAAAGCTTCTTATGTAATTATTTGCAAACGACCCATTCCTCTATACAACTGGACGAGTCAACTTTACTTGATAATGCAGCATTATTATTGGCATATGTTCATTTTATTATGAATCAAGAAATCTATGAAGAACTGCTCTTCGCAAGAACTTTGATAACCGACACTAAAGGTGAATCAATATTTCATGTTTTGAAGGATTACTTCATTGAAAAAGCAATTCCTTTATCAAATATAATATCAGTAGCTTCAGATGGAGCACCTGCCATGGTTGGACGTTATCGTGGATTTATAAGCTATTTAAAACAATATGTGTCAGGGGTGTTAGCAATACATTGCGTCATCCAACGACAACATTTTGTTGCTAAAAATTTGAGTGTTAGATTGCATGAATCACTTCATTTAGTCATTGATGCAGTAAACCGAATCCGAAGCAATGCGTTGAATACGCGGTTATTTGCGCAGTTGTGTGAAGAAAATGACGAACACTTTCATCAACTACTCCTTCACACTGAAGTACGCTGGCTGTCGAAAGGCTTATGTTTTTGCACTTTTTGAGACTATTTTAGAATTTCTGGATACTAAAGATAAAATTTTAAAAGAAAATTTAATGAAGAGGAAAACAGACATCGCCTATTTAACAGATTTGTTTACAAAATTTAATATGGTTAATTTGCAGTTACATGGCGACAGTTTAAATTTGATTAAAACAAAGTCCATCTTATCAGCGTTTCTTGCCAGAGTTAAACTAATGAAGCAAAATATTGGAATTTTCTCAGTTCCCCAATTTGTCACAGACAAGCTGCCAGGAAGACGACGTTTCAACTTACGTTCAACATTTAAATGCCCTCTATTCAGATTTTGAATCTAGATTTGAGGATATTTTGACTATGGTAATACCACCGTGGATAATTAATCCATATGGTGACATAGAAGAAACGAATGTCATAATACAAGAGGAACTGACTGAACTAAGTACAAACGAAGAACTTAAGGTTCAGTTTAAAAACGGATATTATGGAATATAAGGAGGAAATTTTTAATTTCCTTTCCATCGTCATACCTAGTGGAAAGGGGATTCAGCGCTGTTACCAATCTCCTAACGAAAAAAAGAAACAGACTGGACATCATTAGCCGAGGAGATTTAAGATTAACCCTTACAAAATTGACGCCAAATGTTGATAATTTATTATTAAAGCATCAGGTTCATCCTTCTCACTAAAAATATTGACTTATTGCTTATGTTATTTTATTTACAGTTTATTTTATGTTTATTGGTGTCTGACCAATAAATGCCCGCATTAATTTTTTTAAAGAACCCCCCTTTATAGAAAATATTTTTTTTAATTATTCTGATAATTCAAGGATAGGTACACACTAAAATTCGTTAACTTTTTGCCTATTTTTAGATAACTTAAACGTATAAAAAGCGGAATTTAATCAAACTAACAGTGAAATTATTGTAGAACATACGTTTATGTTATAATTAATAAACGAACTCGCTTATTGTAGTATTCTAAGTAAAAAACTTTTTTTTTATTATTTTTAACTTTTTTCTTCTCCCTCTTATTTTTTTTTCAATGCGGGCACTTATTCCCAATGCGGGCACTTATTGGTCAGACACCTGTTTATTTAATGTTACGTATATTTTACAAAACAGATACAAAATTTTATTTTGAGTAGTTTTAATTTAAATTCAATTAATAAATGTATAAATTAACATGTGTTTTTACTTTGAGTTTTTAACACTAAACTTCACTACAGTTAGAAATTTACAGGAAATCAATATCAGGTAAGTAGAAGGTCTACCCAACACGAAAAAACATGGCAAGGGGTCTACGACACAAAAAAGTTTGGGGAACTCTGCTGTAGACATAGACCTAAAATTATTAGTAATTACTGAAAAATAAGAGCTAAAAGGAATTATAAATAGTGATAAAATATTGGTGGTGACTGGTGGGGATACAATATAGGGATGGCAACGATAGAGAAAGATTTTCCCCTGTCGGCCCTTGACATCGTTTCGAAATATGGAATTCTGGAAACGCTATAAAAATAAAAATGAATACACAAAGCCTACTTACCTATTTCAGACAAAAACAAAAACACATAACGATTGTCACCTTGACATCATTCTGCAATCTGTCAAAGTAGTGATAGGCGTGCCTGCTGCACAGTATACGGTATCGATATTCGATAAAATATTTTTCTTTCTACCATGAATGCGTGGAAAAAGCAAAATAAGGAGAGATCTAAAATAACGAGTTATTGAAGGCCTAAAATAGCCAGGCGCTAATAATTCCTGGCCGTATTTGAATATCTAAGCAGGCACAGTAAAACAAAGATAAGACTTGGAATTAATAAAGTTTATTTCGACAGTTGGCAGAGTTTGCTCCACTGGGTAGTGGTGTTGAAAAAGTAATCATACGAAACTCGAGTACTCGTTACTCATAGATACCCGAAGTAACGAGTACCAATCCGAGCACGAAATGATTACTTTGATTACTCTGTTTTCCGTATCCCTACCCGGACCTGTACAATCGCTGATCGTTGTGTGGTAACGCTGGTTAGACTGTAGCACTGCCGCTCATGCACCAGGGTTGCCAGACATCCCACATTCAGATGGAAACCTGGAAACTCATTTTTTTTTTATTGGCGGACATAGAATTTGGTAATTGTTTTTAAATCTGAAGTTTACCTATTTACACCGTGACACAAATTCGCTTTTATTATTGTGATCTTGGGAACCTGAAAAAGAATAAGTAGTCGATAGGATCGGATCAAAGTTCGGCAGTATTACGAGGCAAAAAAGAAACAACAAGGTAACACCACCGTTCAGGAAAACCACAATAATAAAAGTTATGTCAATTTGACTCGTGTTTCCATGCACTGATATGCTAAAAAAAAATAATTCAGTACGACCACCAATAGTATGTGTAGATCAAGCTCAACGTAGAATTTATTATTCATGGTATATTATGCTTAATTGAAATGCTTCGAAAAGTCACATGCCATTCCGAATTTCCTTAAGCCCATATACAGATCATCTTTCTGACTAAAAGACATGTTTTTAAGTATTTCTAGTAAATACAAAGTATTTTCAGTTTGTAGGCTCATATGAATATAATATTCGAGTGAATACAGATAAGTGTCAATTTCTTAGAGATCAGATAGAATATTGGAGTTATATTGTGGATAAATTTGGTATACATAAAACAAAACAGAAAATGGAAGCCATTCAAAATGCAAAAACTCCATCAAATAAAACTGAAGTGCGTGCTTTTGTAGTGCTAGTAAATCAATACAATAGGTTCTTGAAAGACTTAAGCTCTATGCTAGATCCAATATACAATTTATTGTTTGGCCTAAAGAATGTCAGAAAGCATTTACAGCAGTAAAAAAAGAAACTATGTCTGACAGGGTTTTAATATATTTTTTCACTTATTTACCTTTAGTTTTGGCTACAGATTCAAGTTCTTATACGGTAGGGGCAGTGTTATCAAATGTTTACCCTGATGACACTGATCGGCCTATCCAGTTTGCTTAAGAAACGCTTAAGCAGTACAACAAAAGTATGCTCAAATTGATAAAGAAGCATATGCAATAATATTTGGCGGGAAAAAAATTACCATTATCTTTTTGGAAGACATTTTATATTGTATGTTCATCACCAACCTCTACTACAGATTTTGTCACCTTCCAAAAGTCTTTCTACACTTTCAAACACACGAATGCACCATTATGCCTTATATTCAGAAGCTTTTTCATAGAATATTAAATATAAAATTACAAACTATGAAAGATGATTTCTTAAAGAAGATTTTTAAAGCTTTATGGAAAGGATATGAACTTAAAGCAAATGAGAGATTTAATGTCCCTCAACATGAGTTCTCACTACATGGAAATTGTATTTTTCGATAGCAACTAGCTGTAATACCTCAAAAATTACAACCTAGAATTTTTCAGGAGCTACATAAAGTACACTTTGGCATAGTTAAAATGGAAGCTCTAGCTCGTAGCTATTGCTGAAGGCCAGGAATATCAAACGATATTGAAAAAACTTGCAAAGTATGGCCAGAATGTAACAAAATTAATTAATCGGTGAAACACCTACAGGACCATTCCAAAGATTTTGAAGGTCCATTTTTGAATCATTTAATTTTCATTGTGATAGATGTGTATTCAATATGGCCAGAAATCTATTCAGTTAGAAATTAAAGCACTAAAAATACAATTAACATTAACATGTCATGTAAAATATTTTGTACTTGCGGTATACCAAACATTTTAGTGCCAAATAAAGCGCAAGCATTCTCATATGAATTTTAAGGTTTTTTTCAAGTAAACGGTGTATACTATAAATTTAGCATGCCCTAAGATATGTGCCGTCCTTCAAGCAAGCTTTACGGGCAATGAAAGGGAATGACAGTGAAAAGAACTTTTATTACATTACAGACGAATACCTCATTGCGTCACTGGTGTTAGTCCTTCATACTTAATGTTTGGTAGAAATACAACTCATTTAAATCTGAAAACGATCCAATCAAAGTTAGAAATTTTCAAGTGAGGGAAAGCGTGGCATGTCCTTACTACATACATGAAAATAAATGGGAATTTGGTAAGACTTCAAAAATATTAGTAGTAGTAGACATTTATTTACTCCATTATATAAGAATAATAACAACATATAATGGATAAATAAATGTTTCAATCCATAGAAGGACAATGCCTGTACATGAATCAGGCAAATTGCATTATCTAGTTACTCTGGTTGACGATAGAAGATTGAAAAGTTATACAGATCAAATTAGGTCGAATAGTGTAAACACACTGACATTTCAGAGCGATAATTAATTATTTTTATTTTATTTATTTATTTATTTCCAACAGGTGAAACCCAATTACAGGAAACGCTGAAAAAAATAACAATTAAAGAGACATGGTTCTTGGACTTAAATCTATAGTTTCACACATTCTAAATAAGATTGGATGATCTATAGAAGTTATAATCGATGCACAACTGTCACTGTAAATATCACATGATTCAGTAACACTGTTCATGACGCAGCACATGAGATTAATTGGCGATTTTGTCATAACATTTGTACGGCCAGCTTGACAATAGAATGCCGTTTGTTGTCGACTCCCTAGCCTCGGAACGCGGAAACATATTTTTTCAAGTAAATTTTGACAGTCAATTTTATTGTGAATGAGGCCATACAAAAACGACAAAGCAAATATGTTTCGTCTTGTTGACAGTGAATCCAAATTGAAAAACTCTAATAGGGCACTATGGTCACAACCTCTTTCTGGATAAGAACATGTGCATTTAAGGTGAAAATACTTTAAAGTTTTACGTTGAATGGCCTCAAGAATCACGACAGAATTTTGGTATATAGGAGACCAGATCAGAGTCGCATACTCCAACTTGCTCCTGACAAAAGTAAAAAATAAAGTCATTAATGTATCAACATTGGAGAAACCCTTAACGTTTCTGATACAGAAACCAAGTAGTCGAGTGGCAGCCGACGAGATATTGAGTATATGCTCAGTAAACGTTAGCTTGGTATCAAAAATGACTCCAAGGTCTCTATAAGAGGTGCATCTGTCTATAACCTGACCATTGATGTTATAATTATCATAAATTAAATAGTTAACTTTTCTTGTATAAGTCATAACTTTACATTTCGAAACATTCAGACTGAGACAGTTTCGTGAACACCATGACGAAATTAGAGCTAAGTCATCTTGCAACATGAGGCAATCCTCGACTGTCTTGACTGACGTGCAGATTTTAAGGTCATCAGCGAAAAACAACTGGAAACACTTCAGTTCAAAAGACAAGTCATTAATAAATATTAAAAACAATAATGGACCTAGATTTGACCCTTGTTGTACCCCAGACGTGGCACGATAGTAACTCGACCTATGACCACCATATTCGACAAATAACCTTCTATCCCTCAAATATGAATTCATGAGTGACAGCATTGCATCAGACATACCCACTGTTTTAAGCTTATCCAGA